CGTCGCAAATGGAGGCTACGTGCCTGGGAGACCTGGGGGCTGAAACCACAGTTGCACCCTGAGGTGCTTGAACACCAGATCGGCCTGCTCAGCCTGCAATCGAGCCTGAAATGTCCTACACCAAGCGCCCAATGAGCACTGTCACACAAGAGCCAGATGGCTGAGTAGAGGAAAACATGAATAAAGTAGTGAATCAATAAATAAAAAAAAATAAATAAATAGAAATAAACACTGCAATTAGGGTTGGGGGGGGGGGGGGGGGGGGGGGGGGGGGGGGGGGACAAAATGCCAAGATCCGCAATCTGCAAGGAAAACAACACCACACCATAGAAGAGTGATTACAATGCAAACACATGGTAGAACAACACATGCACTGGTAAGGTCTACCACTTGATAAGGACGGCCTCAAGGTCCCAATGACCACAGTACTGCTCCAAACAGAATGCAACAAATGCTGCATGAATGCCAACAGCCAGCCAAGACATTTATCAAACACCTCAAAATGCTACTGACCATATTTGCTCCTAGTTGTTATCTATGACATATTCCATTTAACTATGTTTAACATTCATTACCCACTACAGTCAATTTCTATTTTTTTTTTTTTTTTACAGAATCTTCTCTATAGTTAGACCCAGAAAGTTGCTTTACATGGCCATTGATGGAGTGGTAAGCAGCATTTTGCTATATTTATTAATCTATCATAAAATATATATTTATCTTTCTATTTTGGCTTATTTATGATAATATTTGTGCATGTTTGTCTTTAATTTGTTTATTTCTATTGCAGGCTCCAAGGGCAAAAATGAACCAGCAAAGATCTCATCGTTTCAGAGCATCTAAAGAAACCAAGGTAGTAATGAAACAGTAACCCAATTAGTGCAAATGTTTGCACACTACAGATGAAAACATAATGGCAGGAAATGCTAATTTTTAAGCTTTTTTAGGGAAAAAGCAGAGGAAATGGCAAAAATTCGAAGTGAATCGATTGAAAAAGATATTCAAAATGATACTTAAATGTATATTACTTTCTGTAAGTGCTACTTATTTTTATGGGCAACAAACTTTTCAAAATTGGAAATGATGTATCATATCCAAAGTTGGGTGAAAAAATAAACATTGCCCATGGTTGTCTGACCAGACAAGTAAGGTCATGTTTTTTATAGTCCAAATGGAAAAGTTACCCCTCCCAGATGTTCAGACAGGCCAAGTTTCATGCAGTTTGGAATTGTACACGTACACATTTTGTTACTTTCTTCTGTAGGAGCTCTTTTACCACCAGACAAAGGAAAAACTGAACACTTTGACAGTAACTGTATTACACCAGTAAGTGTAATTGTGTAAAATTGGTTCTGGTTGTTCATTGTGAAGTGCAATAGTCATATTTAGATCATTATCATTTGTCACATTCAGTATTAAATAGTCATTAACCTGTGTGGATTGAATTTGTCTGCATACTGCCAGTCCTCTTCAGGCAATGAGGTTGGTGTGATTGTTTGCGTGCTGTGATTAATGATTCTTAACCCTTCAACTCCTGTGAGTGACCAAGACAGAATTTCTCTGTACAATATCGAGCAGACAAGTGATGAGAATAAAGAAAAATATCACTTAGGGGATTAGTGGTTGATCCAATACCAAATTCTTCAAACTAACATCACAAGAACTGTATGGCAGACAGTAAGGAGAATTAACAATGAGATCTTGAGAGTTAAAGGGTTAACAGATGTTATTGGTATATTTTGTATGTTACAAGGATGACATCTGTAAATCATGCCTTTTACCTGTGCATGAAATCACTAAGATTGTGAACAAAAAGATTTAACTCTTTAACTCCTATGAGTGACCAATACAGAATTTCTCCCAACAACACTAATACAATGCCAAGCAGACAAGTAATGAGAATGAAGAAAAATATCAATTAGGGATTATTAGTTGATCCAATACCAAATGCTCCAAACTAACATCATAAGAATTGTATAGCAGACAGTAATGAGAATTACTAATGAGATCCTGGGAAAGAAAGGGTTAAATCATTCCAAAGTAGGAGGTTTATAGTGGTGTGCCTCACTCTATGATCTGAAAAGACTAATGCTTGGACATAAATGAGTAAATTGTCTCTGTCATGCTCTTGATTCTTTCATGATTCTAGTGGACAACAGAGATGGTGGACTTGCTCACTAGCTGTGTATAGTTTATGTTCCAGAGTGAAGATTGGCAATCGTTTATAACTGGTTGTATGTCATGTATTTCAAATGTGTATTGGATTCAAAAACTCCTCTGAGTGTGAATTTTTCTTTGTTACAGGGGACAGAGATCATGGCCAATTTGTCGATATGTTTAAGATACTACTTTGCTGACAGATTAAACAATGATCCTGGATGGAGGAATATATTAAGTAAGTACATTGCACCTTAATGTAAGTTTTAATAGTTTTGTTCTCTTCTGGTGACTTTCAGTGACTTAGGAATTTTTTGTAATGATATCAATGCATTTTTAAATAGTCAGGTGATGAGTAAGAAAGAAAGGAAAGTATCAAAGCCAGATTATTGTTTGCTTGAACACAAGTTTCTCACAATGAAAATAATTTAAACTGCATGGCAGAAGTGCGTGGAATGATCATTGAGATTTCAGGAGTGTATTACAGTAAAAAGGGTACCAGAGAACTGTCAAGGAAAATTGACACAATGCTGGGGTGACCTGCAAAGGAATCCTTTACCATTCAAGGGGAGCAACAACTCTCTGAGGGCTAACTATGTTAAACAATCTTATAGGCAGCTTTAGCCTTGATCTTCTATAGCCTAACATCACTATGCATATTCTCCATACCAGTCTCTATACATTTCCCTTGGTGCTGACAAGGAGAAATACAGTGTACCTCTTAAGAGCTTCTCTGGTTGATAATCATTGCCTTTATTATCATGACCTTAGTGATTGATTTAGCAGTATACTTGTCAGGAGAAACTAGATCCCATTAACTTTTAGGGGGTTTAAGGGTTAAACTTTAATGATGTTCACACATGTCTGGTATGACCGCAGGTATCCCTTTAGTTATTACGCAGGTGTGTGTCTAATAAAACTCATGAAGATATAGTGTTGTTTCTTTTGGATTTGAGGTGTGAATTATCTTGAATTATTTTATGTACAGTATGCATTACTTTTTTAAGGTGATATTATCAGATGCTAATGTTCCTGGAGAGGGTAAGCACAAGATTATGGACTACATCAGACAGCAAAGAGGTGAGATTTACCTCTCACTCCCAAGATCATATGTACCTATAGAATGAATTGGAGGGTAGCCAGTCAACTTGCTGTTGGAGAGCTATACAGGATAATATTTGGCTCTAGGCCATAATGTACAAATTGAGGGACAGGGGTCTGCACATCATGACCATGAATAAGATATTTTCATGTCTGCCCTGACCAAAAGCATTTCATCATCTGACTGCCATTCTTCATTTCTGTCTTTATATCCATGCTCACATCTTAACCCTTTAACTCTCAGAAATGATTAACATGTAACTTCTCCCAATAAAGTCAATACATTATTTAGCAAACAGGTAATGAGAAAACTTAAATTCAAATCTACCAGATAGACATTGTTATCTTGATCTAACACTGATTTCTCATAACTAATTTACAAGAAAATGTGTTGCAGTCAGAAGGGAGAATTGGTAAACAGATCTTGAGAGTTAAAAGGTCAAGTGGCCAAACACTGGGTGGTGCAGACTTTTCTGTCCGTGTCTACCATGGATCATTATGTA